CGTCTTCGTGGAAGATAGCCTGCGTTCACCCCATACCCAAGAAGGGTGACAGTACAGACCCGTCCAATTATCGGCTTATAGCGATAACCTCCTTGCTCTCCAAGGTGATGGAGCGTGTGGTAAACAACCAGCTCTTAGATTACCTCGAGGATCGCCAACTTGTTAACGACCGCCAGAACGGCTTTCGCCGCAGTCGTGGTGCTGGTGATCTTCTTGTATATCTCGCGCATCAATGGGCAGCTGCCATCGAGAGCAAGGGGGAAGCAATGGCCGTGAGCTTAGACATAGCTAAGGCTTTTAATCGGATCTGGCACAAGGCACTTCTGTCGAAGCTACCATCTTACGGGCTTCCAAAAGGGCTGTGCACTTGGATCGCCAGCTTCCTGTCTGAGCGGAGCATAAAAGTCGCTGTCGACGGATTGTGCTCGGACACCATTCTCATCAACGCCGGCGTTCTGCAAGGATCTGTGCTATCACCAACTCTGTTCATCCTGCATATCAATGATATGTTATTAACTAGTAACATTCATTGCTATGCGGATGACAGTACCGGTGATGCCTATTATACAGGTCGCACAAACATGCCCCTCCAACAAGTGGCACAAAACAGACTGCAACTTGTGTCCAAAATCGAGACTTCTTTGGAGCAGGTCTCAGAATGGGGCCAACAGAATTCAGTAAAATTTAACCCCGCAAAGACACAAGTGTGCGCGTTTACCGCTAAAAAAATCCCCATTCGTAACAGCGCCAAAGTTCCAGAACACAGCCCATACCATCTCAAAGAGTATTGGGATATTTGGAGTCCACATCACGAACGAAGTCCAGTTCCGAAGTCATTTGGAGAGCAAAGCCAAACTGACTTCAAAAAAGCTCGGCGTGCTCAATAGAGTGAAGCAGTACTTCTCTCCAGGTCACCGACTTTTGTTACATAAAACACAAGTACGGCCTCATATGGAGTATTGCTCGCATCTCTGGGCAGGAGCTTCCAAATACCAGCTTGATCCACTTGACTCTATCCAACGTAGGGCTGTTCGTATTATCGATGATCCCAAACTCACAGACGGTATGGAGCCCCTTAGCTTACGGAGAGACGTTGGCTCTCTGTGTGAGTTCTGCCGTCTTTATAATGGGGAGTGCTCTGAGGAACTTTTCGAACTGCTGCCACCGTCTCGTTTCTACCATCGCAAGGAGTAGAGTCCATCCCCACATCTTAGATGCCTGGCATTGTAAGACCACACGGGCATCTCGTTCGTTCCTTCCTCGAATCTGCAAGATGTGGAATGATCTTCTTCCTGAAGTGTTCCCTTTGCGCTATGACATGGGGTTCTTCAAAAAGCGTGTTTTCAGGGCTCTCAAAGTCTGGCAACGCATAGGAAGCTCATCTGATGTTGCAAATGTCCATGGGCGACGATGACCACATCCCATTTTTTTTTTCACAGTTTGTCTCCTTCTTTACATAAAAAAAGTCAACGTACTGTATTAGTAAGCTTAAAAATAAATATATAAAATAAAATGACTAAATAATAATATCTTAATGTTATGGAAGAATTGGAAAATGTTTACATAAAACTAAAAAATATACATGTAACATTACGAAAATTAGGTCAGAGAAGGCAAAAATACACGTTAATATTAAAATTAATGAATGTACACAATCCTGTTTAAGAATTATAAATCAATTATTTTGAAATTAGATAAAAAGATCTTGATATAGAGTTCGCAGAATATATAATAGATAAAATAGAATTTACGTATAAAAAGATATTAACTTTCAAGTCGATTACCACTACCATGGACAAGTTCGACCTAAAAACGGCGGCGACTTTGTTGCCTTACATGGATAGCTCGGAAGATACAACTAGTAAATTAATAGATGGTATTGAAATGTACAAAAGTTGTTTAGAGAAGGAGACTTGTAAACAGTTACTAATTAAATTCGTTATTGCTATAAGATTGACAAAATCTAGAAAATTAAAACTCAAATCAGAATACGCTACTTGTAAGAATTTGATAGATGACATGAAAAAATATTTACTGACAAAAAAGCCAGCAAATTCATTGCTAATCCAACTTAACAGTGTTTCACAGGGTGAGATGCTATTTCCCAAGACGCAAATAAAATTGAAGATATTTTTGTAAATTTAACAATCTCACAAACTAACTCACATAAAAAAGCTTGTGAAGTACTCAAACCAATAAATGAACAACTAGCTATTAAAAAATTTGCCGATGGATTACGAAATAGACGTCTCAGTACACTTGGACCTAGTTATGCCCAAATGTACCAACCCACAAACTGCCGAAAATTGAGATAATTACACCACGTTGATCCATATATACTATATTACTATATACTATATCACAAAACAGCCCAAGATTGGTTGAAAATTGTCAAACATATCATACCTTAGAACCAACCCACTTATATGAAAGACAAAAGAATTAGGTCTGCCATAATGACTCAAAGGCATAAAAGATTTTTTTTAAGCTTTAGTAATGCTACTACTCACTTTGGTTCTAAAATTAAAATAAAATAAATTCATTGTAACGATTCATACGTATTTGGATAATTTCATAATTTGAATTTTAAACAAACATTAATTTATCTATAATGTATCAAAGTACTTGGTTCGTTATACATACAAAAGTATCAAAACAATAATTCAGGTATAATGATCCAAGTTATTTTCATAGATTTAGTATATATGGTTATTTTGGATACGTTTTAACCGAAATTATTTAAAAACCTGAATTAAATTAAATAGTATTTGATACCAATTTAAATTTGTAAATTTGTTTGAAAAGATTAGTAAAGTTCGAAAATTGAAATACCAAAATTGGCTGTATACCGACCATCTAAAATCTAAATTTGAATGGAAGTGAACTGAAGAACATACAAAGGCTTTCGAGATTTTAAAGCAAAAGCTGGTTGAAAGACCTATATTGGCATTATACGATGCGAAGTTAGAGACGGAGCTACATACGGACGCGTTAAAACTAAGCGGCGGGCATCCTTATGAAGCGTAGCAAAGACGGTTTGCTTTGTCCCGTTGCGTATTACAGTCGAAATACCACAAATAATGAACAACAGTTGCACTCGTTTGAATTAGAAACGTTAGCGGTTGTGGCATCTTTGAGCCGGTGTCGGAGTCCTTTCGTGTTCATTTATTAGGATTAAAATTTAAAATTGTCACCGACTGTAATGCGCTCCGAACCACCCTTCGAAAAAGGATCTCATACCGCGAATTGCTCACTGGTGGGTGCAGTTCCAGGAGTATGATTGTGATATTGTATACAGGCCAGGGTCCCATATGGCGCATGTGGATGCGCTTAGCTGTAGTCCTGTAACTGAGCCCAACAGCGAAGGTCAAAACCATGTAATTGACGTTTTAAATTTAGACATAAAGGTTTGGATCGCTACTGTGCAAAACAGTGATGATGAGGTTAAGCGTATTAGAGAAATTTTACAAGATGGGGAACCCAAATTCATAGCTGACGTTCATAAGAATTATCAACTTAATGGTAATTACGTGTATCGGATCGTAGAGAATGGCGTGCGATGGGTGGTACCAAGAGGTGTCAGGTGGCAAGTGTTGCGCATGAATCACGACGATGTTGGCCATTTCGGTTTTGAAAAGACCCTCAGTCGTCTACAAGGACGTTTTGGTTCCCAAAGATGCGAGGATTTACAAAAAAAGTATGTCACATCGTGCTTAGAATGTGCGCACCACAAGCACCTGGCGGCCCCAAGGACATGTTACATAGTAGATAGATTCTTGGTCGCGGATACGCCCTTGATGAGGAAGGGAAATAAAAGACACCAAAACGTTGTAGCGTTAGATAAGGTACTCCCCTGGCTCAATTTTAATGATTATTCCAGTGAGGGCAATGAGAGTGACGATGGAGGTAATAGTCCTGATACGGTTAATGAGTCGCAGAAGTGATTCGAAATACTGTAAACAAGTAATTTGTAATGAGCGATCAGCGCAAGAAATTGCATAGATGGTCGTAGATCGTGGCAGTACCTACATATACAGACAGTGAGCAGATGATTTATGGAAACGGTAACAAGGGCTGTGAGCGATTAGTGCAAATAGCGAATGGTATCGAGAAAGCGATATCGCAGAGATGGTCGTAGATTATAGCAGACTGTGAAAACCTTTTCCGAGAAGTAATAAAGATAAGCATATTTGTTGTCATAAGCAATCAGTGCAGATAGCGAATGGTATTACGCATGATTTATAATTATACGATAATATGATTTTGTACTAAATTATTGTTAAAGAGTTCTAGAAATTTCCCTTTAATGGAAAGTTAAGGTTATAGGCGTACATCTCCTTTCGTCCGTTTGAATACTGATTTAAAGTATTAATTCAATTTATAATTATTATTTTTGTTTCGTTTATGCAAGTATGAGGACCCACTTAAAAAAGGATGGCCGAGTTGTAAGCCTAATTACCTATTATCATATTATACCATTTTGTTTATGTTAACCATGTAAGATGTACCAATCTAGCTTCCATACTTATGCCTAATTTACTTTGTATTTTAATACCATTAACCGTTGTCTATAAAAAGAACTGTTATGTATTTGTAACATGGTATTGTATCGTATAACTTTTTAATAATAATAATTGTTATTTGTAATATGGTAACACATTAAGTTATTTGAAGGAGAATATCTGTTTGTAATTGGCAACTAGGGCTTATAAAAACATTGTATTTTGACATTGAGCGGAATAAACCAATTTAAATCTGGATAATCGTGATTTGTTTTCTTAGTTGAAGGATGTATCCTTTAAATATGTTAGTACTTCGTTACAGTTAAGTATATTATGTAGTGAAAGGTGTAAGGTTAGGTTAGTTAGTAATAAATGTATCGTCGAGAAGTACACTCGTTTTTCGTCGAAATCGTCTGCAATCTTCCCTACTCCCCCCTCGCCTCACCTCACAACTAATAAATTCATAGATTAAACAACACCGATCATTCTTATTCTACTCGTTACGCTTAACACTAACTATAGGAAAATAGCTCGTCGCATTTAATGCGTGTTTCGAAATATAAAGGTCAGAGTACCCGCTATTAGCAACGATTATTCCCTAGTAAGCACTTTTGGAATTAACCAAATCAGTTAATTGTCAAACAGTTGATTGTTTAACCTAAAACTGAGTGATATTGTCTAACTAATTTTTTCATGTTTCATAATAATTACTATAGTACATAATAAACTCAATATTTACACAATAGTTGGCCAAGCGAAACAACAGGAGCTGTCAAATTTTTGTCACATAGTACTCCTAGAAAATTTTGTTGTTCGATACATATAGCGGGCTCTGAGGACTCTAAATGACTTTCTTAAAATTTGTATAGAATTTATATCTATAAATAGCAGTTTTGAATGTGCCCCTTCTTCATAATATGTGTGGTATATCGAATTCTACTTTCGTAATTAGGTATTGGTTTGTCGAAGCGAATGCAGCAAACAACGACAAATTGGGGTTTATGAATAGCTGCAGTTCTATCTTAAACTTAGACGAAAGCTTGCCAAAAATTACTATGCGAATTTGTGATGTATGTCGACGTTTGTAAGACATCTGTGCCTTAATTACCTAGTGATGCAGAAGTCGGAAAACATCTGAACTCTCGTTTGCAGATGTGTAGCTGCTATGTTACCGTGGCGATCATACAGATGTTTTCCAAGTTAATATAATGCCAGTGCATGTTTAGTCTTTTTTATCTTGTATCTTCTCGTCGTCCTTGAAGAGCAATGGTATCATGCCTAGGAAGCAGCCTAAGGTGATACCCAACACGCGGCCCTGTAACCACAACAACATATTGTAATTAAAATAAATATGCTGGTGACTCAAGAGAGCTCAAACAAATGTTTATTTAATGGCTGTTAGTCATACTATGAAAACTTTTGTTATTGTTTGTATTCGTATAAAGTACAAACAATTTTGAGGTTTGCAAAGCTTGCATGATTTTGAAAACATTCCGAGGGCAAATGTATTGACCATGTTAGCGAAGCGGCGAGTGACGGGCATGTCGAGCTGCACGGGCGACAGCGCGGGCGCGCTCATGCCGAGCAGCGCAGCGGCGCGCTCCACGTAGTACGAGGACCCGATGCCGATCACGTCGCTGAACGTGTTGCCCAGCGCCGCCGCCGCCATCGTCGAGATCGTTATGAACGCTGACATAGTGTTCTCAATCCTATCACCCTGTAAGTTTCACCGTCATCTACATATTATATTATACATTTCTGTATTCTGGCAAATAAACGTATTCTATTCTATTCTATTCATAACAGGTACTCGCCTGAGTGTAAACTAGTTTGACCTTTATCAGACTGATTTAAGTACTTCTACTGATAGTGCTTGGTGTTGACAAAAGAGTAAAAAATAAAATAAAAATACAAGTTTTTAAAAATACAAGTACCTACTTTAAATTTCACCATTTGACTATAGAAGAGTTAAGCTAGGTTGTTTAACTGACATGACATCATAAAAGTAAAATATCCAATTTACTTACAGCAATGATCATGATGAAATTGTCCAAGAAGCCAAAGCCAATAAAAGGTACTGAGTTCACCAATAATACTGGAAAAAAATTATTACTGAGTGCCTATCCAAATTAAAACTATCTATTAGTTATTGAGGCAACCAGCAAAAGATAGGGAGAAATGGAAATCTCTGGAATATGCCTCTGTCTTAGGACAAGCTGAAGGTACCGAGTAAACAAATTGAGTAATAATAAATAAGTAAAATATAATAAGTACGCATGTCATACAATGTGTTAGATAATTTAGTAAGTTACCAGCAATAAAGGCTATAAATGAATAAATAAATAAATTAGTTATTGCAAATTCGGCCTCTCATGACAAAAGAATAAAAAAGTTATTGGAAGTGTAATACTAAATATTTCCTATTTGGTATTCTCTGCATACGTTCAGAAGTGTGAGATAATAAAAACTGTTTAAAAATTATATTCAAAGTCTTAAAGTGTTTTTCCATTGGAGAGGCGAGACGAGGTGAGGCGAGGCGACAATTGAAATCTCGCCGAAATTTCCACCAAAAATTATCATCGCGAGCTCGCGCGAGCACCCGCGATCTCGCGCTAGGGTTATGGATAGTGATAACACGGTGCTGTTCAATTTGTCAAGCCATAAACACGCGGATAAAGTACAATGTTACGTAAATTCTTATTATTAAATATGTTAACGGAAAAAGAATCATCATGTAATATAAGCTGTTGGACCCTCTAAGATAAAATAAATAAATAAAAATAAAAATGTACTTTTTCGATAATAACTTTTTTTTATATAATCTTTTCTCCCAGGGCAAATATTACAACACAACTGTTACTGTGTTTACAACTGGCGCTGGATGTTTAAGTTATATTGCAACTATATTGTGTATACAGCGTGTCCCAAAATTCAACGATAAGCGGGCGCTGGAGGGTGGACCTGCGCATAACTACTTGAGGAAAAATAAGAAAAAAATTTATATCATTTTTTTTTAAATTACGATAAAAAAATTGTTATTCTTCGAATATTTACTCCCTTAATGATATTTTAAATCACCACGACCACAATTTTTCAGATATTTCGGATGTTTTTATTTTAACGGCCACCTAAGTAGTACTGCTGTCTACCACAACTCTTAAAATTCCCAGAATGCCTGCAATTTTACAAAAAAATCCATCAAAATATTTTTTTTCCGTGAAATTTTGAAAAATTTTTACCTGCAGTCGACTTTCACTCATCGTTTTGTAAAAAAAAAGTACGGACACCACTGCGGCAAGTATTTTTAAAAATTGACGCAACTAACCACGATTCCAAAATGGTATAATACTTTAAGAGAACTAGGCGCAAAAAAATATTGGTACCATTTCTAAGAAAGACTAAATTTCTTGATTATTGTTCTTATTCATAATAATCACTTTCACTATGTGCCGAAAAAAGATCAAAAGAAAACTGGGGATCTTCCCGGTGTTTTTGCAGCATCACACGGCAAAATGCGATCCGTAGTGGATAGTCCCGAGGCAATAACGTCTGCACTCGCCTATAGTGATATGGGTGGAGCTTGTGACGTTTCAGAATTCGATGTGCCGTACTTTTTGGGATTCCCGTAGCTGCTTCTATGGCACGTACTGAGGTAGTTGCATCAATGTTTATTTCATTGAGAACTTCTTCATCGCATTTCGATTTCGGTCTTCCAGCGTTTCTTCTGGCAGATGGAAAATGACCCTCCGAAAACGCTCGATGCACATTCAAAAATACTCGATAATCCGGGTATCTTTCAGTGTTTGGGTACCTTTCTCGATACAATCTGCTGGCAGCGTTAGCATTGCACCGACATTCTCCATAAATGAGGTGCATGTTAGCGTATTCCACCGGTGTGTATGGTAGCGGCATGATAAACGATAATCAGTTCAAAATACGCCAAAACTCCAATTCTCAGTCCAAAGTGATGCCAGGTCAATTTAGTTTGCAGATCACTTAAATCCAGTCCAATAAGCCAAGTCAAGAGTCGTTAGTACGAGAGCTACGTCAATTGATTACGGAAAGGTGCGCAGTAAACAAAGGAGCAGAGCGTACTGACTTGCTGAGCACCGCAACTTCTCTACCTGCGTTATTGCTATTCAACAAAGGACATCTATCTATCTCTTTCTAACGTATATCTCTCGGTATTTTTCTCTCTCTCTCTAATTTCTAAATTGTATCGACTACGCACACGTGCCATTGAAATTCCAAGAAATTGCAACACATAACCTTTTTTCGGCACATAGTAAAAGTGATTATTATGAACAAGAACAATAATCAAGAATTTTAATCTTTCTTAGAAATGGTACCAATATTTTTGGCGCCTAGTTTTATTAAAGTATTATACCATTTTGGAATCTTGGTTAGTTGCGTCAATTTCTAAAAATACTTGCCGCAGTGGTGTCCATACTTTTTTTTTACAAAACGATGAGTAAAAGTCGACTGAAGGTAAAAATATTTCAAAATTTTAAGGAAAAAAAATATTTTGATGGATTTTTGTGTAAAACTGCAGGCATTCTAGGGTTTTTAAGAGTTGTGGTAGCCAGCAGTACTACTTAGGTGGCCGTTAAAATTAAAACATCAGAAATATCTGAAAAAATGTGGTCGTGGTGATTCAAAATATCATTAAGGGAGTAAATTTTCGAAGAATAACAATTTTTTTATCGTAATTGAAAAAAAAAATGAGGTAGATTTTTTTTCTTATTTTTCCTCAAGTAGTTATGCGCAGGTCCACCCTCCAGCGCCCGCTTATCGTTGAATTTTGGGACACGCTGTATATATTTTTGAAAACAATGCAATGTTTTAAAAGTGGTTACATAATTATGATAAAAACACAATCCTAATCGTGTACATTTTAATGCAATTATAAATATATAATAAGCACTGTATAAATATTTACGAAAATGGAGTTGATACATGTATGTCACCAGGACTATATATTTTTCATTGACTGTACTTTGTTTATTTTTCTCTGAAATAAAAGTTTACCTTTTTTATAATGGTGTCGTGATTATATATTTTTGAAAACAGCACAAGGTACATTTTTTGAAATATCTAATATTTACATAATTTCGAAAATGTGTGAAAGTTTCCATTTCAATGCACGCCACTGTATCCCACAATATCGCGACTGACATTAATAGATCATCGTGAGCACGCGCGAGCTCGCGCGATATCAGTTGATAAGACTAAAGTGCAATTCTTAACCTTACTGAAATGTTATAATTTCAAACATATAAATGACTCAGAAACATATATTTGCGGAAATGCGCGTTCATGCATTGATAATTTTTTAACAAATATATCGCTTGAAAATGTGAATGCTATTACAGTGGATCACAATGGTCTTTTTGATGGCCATGCAGGGTTATTTTTTTCTCTATCCCTTCCATATAAATTCATAATCAACAACAAAACAAGATATATTAAAGTATTGAATTTTTAGTACAAGAAATAACGACAAGTTTAGAGAAAACATATTAAAGCGTGAATGGTATAACTTCGGTATAAATAGTTTTCTGAAAAACTTCAACGAGTGTTTTACAATGAGCTTCAAAAGATTCAACGGAAGTATAAAGTCAATACGAATAACAAAATTAAATGGGTTACAAAGGGTATACGTACGGCGAGTAAAATGAAACGGTTTCTAATGCCAGTGAATAAGCTAACTCATGATATTAGTCTAGTTAAATACAGGAACAATTACATACGTGTATTTACGAAGGTAACAAGAAACGCGAGAAGATTAGCAATACAATCTGCGTTGCAAAAGTCGAAAAATCGTACTAAATTAATTTGGAGGGTAATTAATAAGCACAGAAACAAAGTGGCTACAAAAGTAAGAGAAAAAAATGTATTACAAATCGGTAATAAGACTGTTGTAAACGAACAAGAAATTGTTGAAATTTTTTCTGATCAGTTTAATTTTGGAAGTGCTTCTGTTTCGTCTGAGCTTGGTCAGGTTAATTCGTTGCTTTCCAGTAACTTACATTTTGTTAACAAAGACATGAGTTGGACACCAATTACTCAGTGTGAGGTACGAACAATTCTCAGAAAGATGGAGAGAAAAAAATCAACTGCCTATGATGAAATGCCCATTACGGTTATTCAAGATAATGTGGACATCCTGGCAGAACCACTACCTATATTCTACAATGAGTGCTACAATCAGGGAGTTTTTCCAGAACAACTGAAAACAGCAAAAATAATTCCCCTATATAAAAAGGTAAGAAAAAAGATCCAAAGAACTACAGACTTATATCTTTGTTACCAGTTTTAGAAAAGATCCTTGAAAAGCTCATGAAGGTTTGTTTACTTAATCACCTTGAAAGGAATAATATTTTAAACAAACGACAATTTGATTATCAAGGAAATAGAGGTACGAAGGATGCAGTGCACACACTTATTGACGACATTGTAGTGTCCCTAAATGAGAAAAAGACTTAGCAACAGATACCAGTTTGTGGAAGTTAACAGTGTTGAGTCTGAGGAGTTGGTGCAATGCAAGTCAAGGGTAGTTAAATGAAAAGAGGCGTACCACAGGGCTCTATATTGGGTCCAATTCTGTGTATTATTTTTACCAATGACTTAATTACCTTTATTGAAGACAAATTCCCAAACGTGAAATTAGTAGTTTTTGCAGACAATACCAACGCTGTCAAAAAACCTGAAAATGTAGTAATCCTCGAGCACAAAACTAATGAAGTCTTGTCAACATGTGACTTTTGGTTCAAAAGTAACAATCTCATCATCAACATTAGCGTGACAAACGTTTTATTGTTCCGAACAACACCTAGAAACTACGAACGCATCGACATCATGATGAGTAATAAAACTATACCAACAGTAGAATCTGTAAAGTTTTTGGGAATCTACATTGACTCGTATTTAAATTGGCAAGCAGAACTTAGTAAGTTAGAAAATAAAATAAGTTCAGATTGCTATGCTCTTCGATCCCTGCGTGATGAAGCCTCTGTCGCTGATTTAAAACTGGTATATTATGCTATAGTTGAGTCACATTTAAGATATAGTATCAGGTTTTGGGGTAATAGCTATGAGTATAACGTAGAAAAGGCCTTCGCCCTACAGAAAAGAGTAATAAGAACCAGTTAGAATTGCGCCCTGGGAGTCATGTAAACCTTACTTTAGACAACTATCTATATTAACAGTTCCTTGTCTCATATTTTGGAGTTGCTGACAGGCGTAATTGAAAGTTCGTCAGAATTTAGTAAGGAGACCGAGTCAAATAGGCTTGTTACTAGGAGGAAGGACAGACGTGGTGTAATATTATAGCACCAAAGTTAAATATTGTGAAACATAGTCTAACATATCAAACAATAAAAATGTTTAGTAGTCTCCATGCCGAACTTAAAATAGCACAGGATCCTACATCATTCAAAAACTGGAAACATTTCTTGTTGGATAAATCATTTTATTGCATTGATGAATTTGTTGTCGGAGCCTTTTCACATTAATTTAATTTATATGTAAACGTGATAAGGGTTTCTAATTGACATTGTTATTATTATTGTATTATTATTATCATTATTTTGCCTTACTGACTTGTCAATATATTTAATTATGTTCGGTCTCTTATTTATTTTGTATTTGATGTAAGTTTTTAATTGTAATTGTATTTTTTTTTCCAACACAATCTATTTTGTTAAGGAAATAAATAAATAAAAAAATAAAATAAATATCGTACAAGACACCGTGAATTGTGTTTCCGTCGCAGAATCAATAAAGAGTCTATGTGGCAGCAATAAGGTTAAATGTTACATCAACAAATATTTCGAATCTCGTCTCGACTGAGTAAAATCCAAAACCTTCGAAAATGAACTGCATCAGGTGGGACTCTAGCTGCGCGGCCAATGTATAATACCTACCGGAAGGGTCGGTATCATCGAACTAAAATTTACCGCCATCTTTGTCAGTTTCTACCGGAAGTGAAAAAAATTTGAAATTCGAATAAACAAGATGGCCGCCATACAAAATTCAGAGCCTTACAGCTTGGCGAGTATTGGAGATAGGCGGGGGTTGCTAGACCAAATGTGATAGAAGGCGATGGGGGTTCATTGCCAGAGACAAAATTTTTTCAAGATGGCCGACTCAAAATGGCGGCCCCAAAAAAGGTGAATCGGTCCGGCTGAAATATGGCATACAGCCGTGTATGGGGGCCCACAATGCGAATATATGGTTGAAATTTCAATTCCGCCATTTTCTAAGAAGGCCGCCAAACATGTGAATTTTCTGCCCTTTGGCGTCATTTTTCTCCCAGGAGGGCGGGAGGGTAAAAATAATGTAGGTGAATATTTATAATAATAATATTATTATGGTCAGATGGGCTTATTGAATATCAGAAGGCAACGAAATCTTCGAGACTTGCTCCGCATCAGGTAGGATCCCAGCTGCCCGGCTAAAGTATGCGTCCTGGCTCAAAATCTCCAAACGAATGTTTATCCACATTTTAGGCAGTTCCTACCAAGAGCGAAAGAAATTCAAAATTCGAAAACCAAAATGGCCGCCATACAAATTTCGAGGGCCGGTATCTCGGAAACTATTGGAGATAGGCAGATCGTGCTCAAACTAATATCGCAGAGGGCGATAGGAGCCAACTGGCTGTCGAAATTATTTTTTCAAAATGGCCGATTCAAGATGGCGGCCCGACAAAAAGGTGCTCCGATCCGACTGAGATTTTATATTTTTCCATGTTTGGGAGTTCGTAATCCGAATTTGCGGTCAAATTCTAGATTCCGCCATTTTCCAATATGGCCGCCATACATTTTACACAGTCCACTGTGTTCCGAGGCCTACATCTCGGCGAGTGTTGGAGATAGATGAGAGACGCTCAAACAAATGTCGTACAGTATAGTACGAGCCAACTACGGGTAAAAAAAATTTTCAAGATGGCAGACTGAAAATGGCGGCCCGAAATAAAAGTGCTCCGATCCTACTGAAATTTGACATGCGATCGTGTATGGGGGCTCATAGTATGTATCTGTGGACGAAATTTGGATTCCGCCATTTTCCAAGATGGCCGCCATACAAGTGAATTTTCGGTTTTTTTACCCAATTTTTCTCCTAGAAGAAGAGCGGGTATATAAGAGTAATGTATGTGAATAATGGTTGGGTGAATTTGATGAGTATCAGAAAGTACCAAAACCTTCGAAAAGTGAATACGGGGACTCTATTACGAGTACAAGATTTCGCAATTGTTCAAAATGTAAGGCATACTTCCTGAAGTAGTGGAAATAAGATACTTATAGCATTTTTGTATCTTGAACATCTCTCTGTTAGATTCTTTTTTCTTGGAAGCTATGTCAAAAAGAGAAGTATTTAGGGAAAAAATGCCAGACAATCACTTCAAATTTCTGATCTCAAACTAGGGAATTTCCTGTACTATGAGTACCAGAGTAACGATAATTCTGAGGGCAATACCCAGAATACCCTGACCAGAACCAATGTAAAAATGTTTTTCTGGCCCAAATCAGGGATCGAATCTGGAACCTCCTCATCAAGCGCCCATTGTAATAATCACTGTGCCACCGTAGAGTATAAGCACTCCCAGCAATCTGAAACCGACTACGCGCCGCAGGCTGAGCCCGACCCTACCGTAGGTGGGGTATAGGGCTCATAACATATATAGTTTTAAAAATCGTCTCGCCTCGCCGGTGGAAATACACCCTTATCGTAGTATAATGTTTAAGTACTTTATGTTATTTACATTCAGAGAATTTTAATTGTTGAAAAAAGAAAAGTAATGTAATAATAAAATCTATTAAAATTACGTTCTTTTCAATTATTTTTCCGCATTTTCATGACGAAACATAAATGAAACAAGCTGAGTCTTGATAGCCACATTCTTCTTCTTTTAAATGTTATGGCCCCATCGAAATAATCAATGATTGTTAATTTGGAATTATAGTCTAGTGTCAACTGTTAGTGTCGCCAAGGAGCATATAGATGTCGCTGTCATAATTTTATGACATAAACATCGCGTATTTTTATTTAACGAGAAATGATTTCCTATGTACTATTAAATAAA